ATCTCTAGCATAGTATCACCTACATGTATCTTTACTGGACAATTAGCTGAACCTACTCTTCTGCTGCTGATATGGCTGGCCTTGCAAAGAAGTTAAATACATCAGAATATTCAGTGCTGCTCTTCATCTTGCACCTTGCAATTCCTTCACAACTCAGAGCTTCAGTGATCAAATGTTGAAGGTGTGCCTGCTTTTACTTACTTTTTTTCCCTCAGTGACTTTATTAGATCTATATCCAGTTCTGAAGCTCATAATTTGTATCTGCATATTTTCATAAAACATGTGGTTGAGGACCAAGTTCTGCTCCAATTACTCTTCTGTAATATGATTCTAATGGGTATAAATAAATTTAATTCCATATAGGGCATATCGGCTTTATTTAGGGCCTTATAATCATTGTGAAGTTTGTAGTCTGTTTAAGAAGTCAAGGGCTGAAAACAGTATTTTTATCCCCCTCAGAAAGCCTTCCTGGATAGAGAAGTAAAACAAATCATAGATTTGTCTCTGAGATTGTTTTTCATTGAAGCAAAATTATTTTTCAAGGAAGAAACAATAATAAGAGACTTATATAGAGACTTATATAACAATAATAAGAGACAATAATAACAGACCCAGATCTGTCTAACTTTTCCCAAGTATTCATAACTCCACATTCAGTGGGACCATTCATTCATGCAGCCCAGTAATTTTTGCCACTCTTTTTTTTACAGGACATACAGACAACAAGGCAGAATGCAAAACTCTCTCATGTTGTCCTGTAGGTCTGGCCCACCTTCAGCGCTTTCTCCAAACTATAATGAAGTAAAGCACCCTACATTCTCATATAGCCAGCAACACTCCTTGCAACTAATCCATAATTTAGCTTGAAGTATCAAAAAAACTCCCCCTTTTAGACATCAGCTAATTTTATCATGCCAGGAAGTAAAGCATTTCACTGCAAATTCATAAACTAGGAAACCAAGGCCCAGAAGGGTTAAGTAACTTGGTTAATAGAAGGTTTAAGCTTAAGACATAAATAGATTCTAGAAATCTTTACCATGTTCCTCATGCTCTAATTACTGGGCTGCACTTCTGAAGGGATTCTCCCCTGAAGCGCTGCTGCTTTACAAGCCCTCTCCTGGCTATGTGCTGCAGACCATAGGTTCCCTGTCTTTGTTTGCTTGGTTATTTTCATTGGCTGTGGCAGCCTCAGCAGAGGCAGTTCAGGTCTCTGTTCTGCATGTATAAGCAGGAGTGGCTGTTTTAGGAAACCGTCACATATCACTTGCTGGCAGCGTGTGTACCACTAGAGATATGAGCACTTCTGTCTGGGAAGGTCTGAGGTGAGCTACTTAAAAAGCTGACCCTTCATCTGGAAAGTGGAAATATTGAACAGTCCGAGGCCCAGACTGCCTCTGATGGATAAGCTGTTTCCAAATGCCTTTTATATACTACTGGAAAGGAGCAATTAGCACAGTTCAGCTGATGTGCAGCAAAGTCTCGCCTATATCTTTGTATTTTCTATATAAAGATATTTTATATCTATAGCCCAACAATTCCAGAAGAGTGCAGACTGGGCCGTGCTAAAAAAAAAACTGGACATTTATCTGAATGCAGGGCCAGCCAGCATCTGCTTCCCCTCCAAATCTCCCCCAAAGTACCAACATCTGGACTTTTTCAAAGGCATGGAAGGCAGTTTGACATCCCTCTTCAAATGTGTCTGAGAATCTTCCTCACAAAGCCTTAGAAATACAGGCCCTCATGCTGTTTTCCATGTGCTGAAATCAGTGGAATTATACCACCATAAGACAGAAATGAGGGGAGAAAGTGGCCCCATGAGAGGCCCTTCTGGATAGTGGTGGTGAAAATGAAGCCGTTAATCATCCCACTACATGGTGATGAGACTTTGCTGCCAGGCTAATACCCTGATGCAGTGTGGTATGGATGCACAACCAGATGTGTTCTTGTCTGCATTGGCATCAGAGGGATTTCAAGGTCTACGGTTGGTCTGCTGGAGGCAGAAAATATTAACAGTGTTATAAATCTGAACAGTCAAATTGATGAGGGACTCAGGGAAAATGTCAGTAAATTAGAAATCATTAGAGACATTTTGAGAAGCATAAAGGTTGAGAATTTTGTTAAAGGATGTGTTTATTACAAAAATGACTGAATCTCAATACAAATGAAAAGACATTTTTAATATCACTTGCCTGAAAGAACAAGGAAATATGTATGTCTGTAAGCATGCACATATACACACACACTGGCAAGCTCTTAAAATATCAAAGTTCCAGACAAACAATCTGAGAGCGTGAATTTGAACAGGGTGGGGAGTTGAAACAGAAGCTTTTAATTACTTCCTGATTGCTTGGGTCAAGTGTTGAATATGATAAAAGGGAAAGCAGAACAACATCATTTTCTGTTTGATTCTCCCTCCTGCTGTTCTCTGAATGAAAGTAATGAAGCACTGAGTAGGGGGGGTCAGGGAGGCTGAAGGTGGCTGAAGAGGGAAAGAACAGACATATCAAGAGGTTTTGCTTTTGTGCATGAAAAGTTTGAAATATTGTAAAATTAATTATTTTAGGAGAAATGCATCACTGTATTGTTTGAGTATCATATTTGATTAACATAGAATTATCAATGCTTATCAGTCCAAAGCAAGGAGACCATGAAATTAACTGAGGGCCAGATCTTTGTTTCCCTTCTTCACCAAATTCCTTTCTACATGAAGTTTTTTTTGAATAAGAAATGAGTTAAATTAGGGAAAGGACTTTATGATTTGGCCCATTAGAGGCTATTTTCATAATACCCTGCAAGTCATTTTTCTTTTGTGATTTTTTTTCTTCCTTGCCCCAAAGCCTTTTGAATATGCCCTTAAATACAGCAAGTCCAGTGTGGCTCTGGCGTAAATATCTGTTTTTCCAACCTTCTCAAATACAAAATTAGAATTTTGGACCCCAGTACTAGTAATACCAATAGACTAATAGATTTTGAGTGCAGTGTGACAATTAGGCTAGATATTTCTTTTCCAGTTTCATGATAAGTCCCAGTGGTCCAATGAATCTGAGACTGCTTTGTCTCAGATTTGAAGGCTGAACCTTTTTAGCCTCTTCAAATAGCAGTATTCCCACATCAGTGTCTACAGGTGGTAAGTCCCAGTGGTCCAAAGAATCCGAGACCTGCTTTGTCTCAGATTCAAAGGCTGAACCTTTTTAGCCTCCTCAAATAGTAGTATTCCCACATCAGTGTCTACAGGTGTTTGCTTCTCTCTCCTGCATCTGTATCCAGCACAGGCAGAGAGGCTGCACTTCTGAAACAGCCCCATGGAGTCTTCAAGAGACAGCCTGAAGCCATGTGGGGAGTCATCAGCAGGGCTTTTCACTGATTATCCCTCTCCTTAGCCTCCCTTGAGTTTTGTGCAGCTGGTGGAGTACTACTTTTTAGTGAATCTTAACTATGATGAACCGATGCTGTATAAGTTAAAATAATTTTGGACATAACCTCATATCTTCCTAATAAAGTTTCCATTCTATTGAGATTCACTGCACATTTCTGAACCTCCTTCAATCTCCCCCACTCTTTTCCTTTCTTAGTGAAGGGCAACATTTTTTTAATATATGTGAGTAGCTCTACGTGCAGAACTGCTGCATGCCCCAGACATATTCAAATAAATAAATAAGTAGATTAGGACTCAGGACACTGAAAACGAGGTTGACAAGCTCAAATTTCACAAGGCAAAACAGATCACAAACAATCTTATTGACCCTTCTATTTTGTGTCCCTTTGTTTTCTTTACAAGATTGGTGAATACTCCCCTTCAAGAGACATTTAGAAAGGGCAGATTTTGAGGCCAGTTGGAATTGCCTTTATTGATGCACCTGATATTCCTACAGGGATCTAATTTGCAGCACGGGACTTTGTAATTTCATGCTAGAACAGCAGAAAATGGAAGAATAACTCATCTAGAAGGAGGGGATTATGTAACATAGTAAAAGAGAATCAACAGAGACAGTGAGGATGCTTTTGAAAGTCATCTTGCTGGTCCTGCAGTGCCATGGACCCACTAATTGGTTTCAAAAAAAAAAGGAAGATATGTTACTAACAAGGAAAAAAAAAAGAAACAGGAAAGTAACTCAGTATTAATAGATCTCAACTTCTGAATTCACTCAGACAAAAATATATAGCAGCTGAATAAAATCCTCTGCTACAGTTTAGTATAATATGCGTATACAGTTTAGACTTCCTGGAACTCCAAATGTACATTTGCAGTTTAGGACATTTACCTGTTAATGGTCTTTCTTCACAAATAGCAAACTCAATTTTCTAGTCTATTTTCTAGTCTATCTCTAGTCAATTTTCTAGAGTTGTGATTAGCCACAACTCTTTTGCCTTGCCAAAGCTGTGTGAAGATGACACTAAGCAATCGGACACAACCCCTTTTGTCACCGTTGTCTATGCCCTAGGCTCTAGTGTGTCTGAAGAGGACTTGTGCTAAGGAGTCTTGCTGTGAGGAATTCCTTCCCTACCATGAAACACCTATGGTCTTATTTTTATTATCAAAGTGTCCTGCCCACTGCAGCTGGTGGCTGGAGTCCAGGGGATTGTGACCTTGGCACTGTGTCACAGCCCGGCACGTGAGAACTCTCCCAGAACCACAAATTCCAGCCACTGTGGCCATCCTCTCTCGCCTTCCTCATGGTAAACCCATGGATAATAAACCCATGGATAATAAACTGTCTTTGACAAATGAAAACTTACAAAATCAAATATTGGACCTCAGAGAAACAGTTGCAGAGCTGGATATTGAAAACAAGAAATTATTGAAAGAAAATGAAGATATAAAGGACTGGAACAGGAGACTGCAGGCCAGCGCAGATTGTTTCAAGATATTAGTAGGAGACTTACACAGAGAAGTGGATAATGCCAGGGACACACTAAAAGACAGAGAAAATAAAATCAAAAAGATAAAATTGCAGAATAAAAATCTAGATAAAATCAATGAGCTACTGAAGGCAGAGATCATGGAAATGTCCTGCCAAATATCTGCATATCAGGATGATGAAAACTATCGAGACTATCAAAGTATCAAAGACTCATTAGGAGAGAGAAATATACGGTATGAAAATGAGAGGTATTTGGAACACCTGCAAGTCAAACTGGAAGTGAAGGAGAAGATGTATGAGCAAGAAAAGCTCCGAGCCTGCCAGTTAAGGGACATGTTAGAAGAATTTGACAAGCTCAAGGAAGTTCAGAAGAATCACATTGTGCAAATAAAAGGAGAAGTACAAGAGTTAAGTGAGGAAACTGCACTTTGGAGAGCAGCACATGAGAGCAGCCCCCTGCCTGGCTGCTTACTGCATGAGTTGGCTGAAATCAAGCCTCTGGAGGACTCACTCCCTTCATTTACGAAAGAGAAATTCTTCTGTTACATGTGGAGTACCTTAAAGCTCTTGCTGTTAGTGCTAGTTTGCATTGGACTTTTCCTTAATTACTTTATCGTTCGCTGCCTTCCCGTACTGTTTAATGATAGTGAATTTGATATACTTGTACAAGCCTTGTATCCATACCTCAGTTTGAAAAATGAAGGACTATTGCCATTTTAAGAATACCTATAAAGGCTCTGCGGAGTTGTCCATGTCAATTTAATAATCCCTCCTTCCGTGCCTTAACGCATGAGTTCATGTGTTTTTTTTTTAGATATCAAGTAAACTTTAGGTTTTTAGCATAGGGTTTCTTGAATTAGATTGTTACTGTGAATGTATTTTATAATAGATAGCTGCATCCAGTAAAAACCCAACAGAATACTCACTGCCTCAGGCAAAGGAGACAAAATAATGCAGCTTGTGCTAATCTGACTGAAAGTGGCAATGTGCAGTACTTGATTCTGGAATTCACTCCCCTGCTAGCATGCCAGCATCCACATTTGTTCACCTATGGGTCACATTGTAGACCATATCAGTTTTTTTTCAGACTTTGAGGAAGAGCATGGAAGAATTTAAACATGTAGGAGTATTTCGTATGTTCAGTCGAGATTGGTTAAAAAGACCTTTCTTTACTGCATGTTAATTCAGATGTTGCATATTTACATTTGGCTAAAATCTTTTGTTTGTGCATCTAGAGAGAACAGGCACAGGGACTACCTAAATGCAAATAAATAAATGCCATTTCGTGGATGGAAAATTAAATCCTAAAGAACAACATGGCAGCTGGCCAACTGGCAATCATGCTGAGCCTTCAGAATTATCCCTGACATTTATGCACAAAGCAGGTACATGAAGCTTGCTAGGCAGGAGCTAACAAATAAATAGTACAGAAAAAAAAAATCTTGGGTGGTTAGGGGAGCACTGTGATACCATCGCATTACTTTCAGTAGTGATATATGCAGCAGCTTGCAGCCATGGCAATGAAGAGAAATTCCAAAGATGAAAAGGCTAGAACAACCCCTTAATCTCCTTCATGCCTGTCCTGTGTGACAAGAAAGTGTCCCTTTGAAATGAGAGAGATATAGTCTAGAGAAGAAAAGTTAGAGCATGAAGTGATTGGGCAACACTCAGAGGCAAGGTGAAGTCAGAACAAGGTTATATAGAAACAAGGATGGTTTATGTTTAAGATGCTGATCTGTGACTCAGAATAACTAGATTTTCATTCTGCATCCTTTCTCCTTTTCCACTGACAAGTCACTTAATCTCTCCATGTCTCAGTTCCCCAACTAAATAACAAAGCAGTAATATTCCAGATATTTCTTTTGATGCTGGAGAGCATTTATTTGTTGGTTTGTTTTTTTAACTTGAATTATCTTACAGAACTGAGTGAGAGAATATTAGGTGAATAGTTAATCAAGATGAGCTCAGAGGGAAGTATACCCTTGCAAAAGAGAAATAGTAGTGCCAGGCATCTCTGAGCAGGAATCTCTTATCTTGGACCAACATCAGCCAGAACAGTTTATGCACACATAAAAAGGATTAAGTCAAAGAAAATGTCTAATAAAATCATGGCCCATTCCAACTAAGTACTGACTTTAAAGTATTATTGTTACTGGATAATACTAGTAATGAGAAGTGAGCTGCCTGTAAGCGTACTGACTGGCAATTTATCAATTATTGTAGTTATGCAAAGTCAGACTGATTTTACTTAATCCTCGCTGTCTAGTTCCACAGGGAATGTCACAGGAAAAACAAATATTCAGTGAGGTTATAGGTGGAAAAGAAACACTGCCTTGGCTTGTCACAAAGAAAGGGCTCCAGGAATATGTCCTGGGAAGGGTCATAGAAGGTAACTCCAAGCAGATAGAGTAGATAGATCTGTTGTCCTCATTTTTCAGCAGATCTTCTCCACCAGCTTCAGCTACTGTCCTGTACATATTACACAGCCTATGTCTGAGGGTGACTTATAAAAACCCTTATAGGCTTCTATAGGAGCCAAAAGTAGCATTAGAGCTAGCAAATGCATTTTCAGTATAAAATGGTTACTTCACATAACACATACTATGTGGTACATTCTGCACACAGAGGAAACTAATCTTTCTGTGTTCTAATAAACTCTTTCAATAACAATTTTTATAAGTCACACAAAAATAAAGTTTTGCAGTTAAATGGGAGATAAACACCCAGAACTGAGCCAAAAAATCACATATGCAGCATAGTCCTATCTACACTTTATATTTTTTTCTGAATGTCATATACAAAGCTCAGATAATCCTATGATTTTTATGTCTTTCCCGTCTTTATTTTACAGAAAAAAAAGAGAATTTTATGTTATCATCCAAAAAAAAAGAGAAAAGTCATATTTTTAATGCACATATATTTATGTTCTGAATATAGCTGCAGGGCTGAATTCCTGCAGGGGAAATCTCTGCAATTACAGTCAGATAACAACACCTTTTAGTTGAAGTTACCATATATGCCAGAAAGTGCTGCAAAACGCTAAAGCAGTAAAAGGGAAGTAGAGCAGGAAGTGACTTGAAACAGGTAGCCTTAATACAGACATTTGCTTTCCTTATGATTCATTACAAATCCAGTAAAAACAGCACTTAGAGCAACAACTCGTTACCTTTAACCATTGATTTTCTTCATCTTCATCTCTTGAGGATTTACATGCACACACACTTCCTTTGCTATAAGTCTTTCTTCAGTCTTCAGGAAAATAGCAACAAAATATAGTCTCTAAATATCTGGTTTGTATTTTCTTCTCCTCAATTACAGTACGAATATTACTTATATATGTATGTGTGTGTGTGTGCATACACATATACTGTAGTAAGTGCTAAAAGCCTTGATTGCACAGAGACTTTTTGTGCTAAACACTCTGTAATGTTTATTGACACAAAGATGCTGCCCTGGCCATGTAGAACTGTAAAACACACAGGGATGTTAATATCCCCTTTTTGTGGAGTAGTGAGGAGGTGTGGTAAGACAGCTTCCCGAGATCACACAGCTTATGGAATCTGAACTTATATTTTTAACAAGTCTATAGAGGCGAGTGTTGGTCCTGTGTTTAAAGCAATTAGTTTAAACAAATACTTGGTTAAAAGCCTCTCTTGTAGGGAGAAAATAAGCGTCTTCTTCACTCAGATACTCGTATCACTAAGAAAATATGGTGACATCTAATGATCAAAGGAGGAGGAGTTGGGAACTGCCTGAAATATTCAGCTTCAGATGTAGCCCCACTCAGTTCAGATGTTTGAGAACCCTGGAGCCACGGCTGACCTGTATCCTACTGCTTTTCTGCAACACCATCTCTAGTCTCCTAACACCTTTTTGGAAGAAACCTGCTCTGCGAGCACAAAAGGGTCTGGATTCTCAGGGGAGCTGTACTCCTGCACCTCCTGCTGTCCTCCCTTGATGCTAGGGTATGGCAGCTCTGCATAGGAGCAGTCCTCTGCCCCTTCCAGGCCCAAACTCAAGACCATCTGTGCACATCAGGGCCAACTTCAAAGGAGGCTGAAAATTTGGCCCCAGAGAAACCACAGCCAGCACATAGAAGAATGCTCTGACTGTGTTTATTTCCAAGCAACTTACCCTGGCCCCCATAACCTGCCACTTTCAACAAGAAAGGCTCTGGAGGAAAGCTGGAAATAGAAAATCAGGCTGCAGAAGATCTATTGTATTATTTGAAAATAATCTTTTCCAAAGGGAATATAGACTGGGGACTTATAAGAATATGGAGCTTTACAGCTGACAAATGTACTAGCGTGTCAATGCGGTAATGAAGTTAGTTCTGCACTGTTTGGAAAACTGTGAATTTCCTTCCAAGGTTTGTGATTAAACATCTAACAGAAAATAATGATTTCCTTGCAGGCGCTTAGGCATCAAATATAAAGACACAAAGCGAAAGTCAACCAGAGAATGAACCTGCTAAATATCACTATCTCCTGGATATCTTCTTAATATCCACTGTTAATTATAAAAACCAATATCTATAGAATTGAAACGCCCAGTGGGAGAAAGTATGACATTTAACTTAGAGAATTCCTTCCCACTTCAATCCTTTTTCACACAAAATTGGTGCTTATTCAGTAAAAATTAGGAGTTGAGGAGGGGGGAAAAGATAGTGTATTGATTTACATGCATATCTTGCTATTGCAGAGAGAGGAAAAGATTACCTAAATTAGAAAGAAAAAAAAAAAAAAAAACTTTTGCTGCATATAAGCAAAGATTCCTATAATGACCTTAAGTAAGCAGAAAAACAATGTTGGATTGTCTGGGAAGGGAAGAAGAGAACTCTTTCTTCCCACTGGGATGAGCATGGGAAACGGTACCATTCAGAAGCCTTTACCTGGACCAGCTGAAAGTGTTACGTTGAGCAGAGATTCAGATTACTGTTGCCTGTTATCAGAATCTGGTTCCTAGAGAAAGTAGAAAATTGTGTCAGATTTCTTGGCTCTGAGTAATTACTGAGCAAGAACGATGCCTGCTTGTTTTCTCCTTAAGCATTTTTTAGAATCACTGAAACCAAGGGCAGAGGAGCTCATTAGCTTCCCTAACGTCATTTGATTTAGCTTCAAGACGCAAGCCACACAAAGGAAACTTCTCCCGTGCAAAGCAGGCTCCCACTACTAGTGTATGACTCCTGTTTTTGAGTATTTTGGCTGTAGACTCTACCGTGTAAGTGAACAAAGAGGATGTGCATGCCTGGAAATGCTTTGCATTCATAAGCCTCACTTCCAATTGTATAAGTTAATATGTATTAACTGCAAATCAGTTAAATCAGAATTGCAATTTAATTAAAAACTCTAGGCTAAATGAAGTACTAGAACAAATGGGAAGCTAGTGAAATTGAGTAG